CTCTTGCAAGATTTGAAGAGTACAGGGAGATGGTGAAGATCAAAGCCAGCAAACTCCAGAAGAAGCATCCAAGATGTCTAGCTGATGGAAATGAACTTTTGAGGTTCTATGGCACTACTGTTGCATGCTCTCTAGGCCTTAATGGTTCTTCTAGTCTCTGCCTATCAGAAAAGTGCTGTGTTTGCAGAATCATTGGGAATGGCTTTTCAGCCAAAAGGAGCTCAAGGGTGGGATTGGCGTCTTCACAACATCAACAAGTGGAAGAGCTTTTGAGTCAATAGATGATTTTTGGGATGAAACCATCACTGAGAAAAGCACTAATAGTGTGCAGAGTAATTGCTGGCAGGGTTCATAGGCCACTAGAAAACATTCAGGAAATGGCAGCACAAACAGGATTTGATTCATTGGCTGGGAAAGTTGGTTTATATTCAAACATGAGGAGCTTTATTTGCTCAATCCTAGAGCTCTTCTTCCTTGCTTTGTGGTAATCTGCAAACCTTGAACCAAAGGGATAAAGTCAAACTCAAAAAGCCTTACATGTTGTGTAGTTTTGTAGATCCCCTTATTTTGGCCTTGTGGATGCAGTTTGTAATCTTTTGAAGGATTTTGATTCTTTCTCAAGTCAAGTCTGCTTCTTCAGGTTCCTTGGTGAAACCTCTCATTCATACATTGTAAGTTATTTTTTAAATGGTCATGAATATTTTTACATCTGCACATGGTAACCTTAGGTTCAAGAATCAGAAATAAATACAAGACTTGTGAGATTGTACTAAACCAGATTTAATAATTGTCCCTCCAACATTTCTCAAGAATGCAGTGCCATGCAGGTTATCTGTCGGTTACAATTAATTGAAAGGTCTAAAGAACAGAGCCATTTAAATTGGTAATAACCTAGAAAACCTACTAACCATTAAATACTTCATAGGGTAATTGAAAAATGCAAGAACCCTAGTTCATTGGTTTAATTAATGCAACCAAAATGTTAGATTCCACAAGTGCCCACTAAAAACTTTTTGGTTTGGATTATATTTCTAATAATTAACAAATATATTAAAGATAATAAACTATTATTTTCTGGTTTATCTTCATAAAATAAGTAGCTAATTGTGTATAAAATAATAGTTTATTTATAAAATAATTAAGGTAAATAGTTACATATTTTATTTTACATCCTTAATCATTAAAATGATCCAATCAACATATAAATCTTGTGTGGGAGTGTTGTGGTTGACTTTTGTTAACCTTTTATTTGAGTTAAACAAGTTGTGTTCCTCAAAATGAGAAGCTCCAACTTAGTACATAAATGGCAAATTGTTCATTTTGTATTTAATGAACACCAAATAATGGCATGTGGTCATGGTTTTGGTTCAGCTGGGAGAGAAGTGATTCTAAACTTAAGGACAAACATAAAATTGATTTTTAAAAGTGAGATATTCAGAGTTGAGGTTTATGTTTTGTCTGTTCTTCACTTTGTTCTTTGAAGGTCTTTTGTTAATATTTAATGGCCATTTTTTGTCAGTTATGCATCCTTGAAAGTTATGCATTCATCATGTGAACCAGTACAGTTTAAGATAAGTCTGGACCAAGTGTCATAACACAAAGACAGGTCTCTTTATGTGTCTCTTTTTACAGGATATATAAAATTATCAGATGAAAAATACATGTCAATTTTGGATTTGTTTGGAATAATATTTTTAAAATAAATCTATCTAATAAAAAACCCCGTCAATGTTATTTTTCTAAAGAATGAAGTGAAAGAAAAAAAGGGAGGGGGAGGGTGGAAAAAGTGAAAGGGGGTTAGAAAAAGATTCAATTTAATTCCCTCTATAAAAAATGAAATAATTTAATAAATGATTAATAAAAAAGAATAAAGTAAATATTTATTTTTTCTTAGATTTTAAATATTGAATTAAATTAAAATGATATTATAATAAAATAAAAAATTTTGATATATGGACTATTTAAAAAAATGTTATTTAACATAAAATTTAAAACAATTGGTATAAAATTATGAATGTTTAAATAATTTTTCAGAGTAGTTTTAAAAATATAAAAATGTACTAATAAAAGAATTATTATTAAGGGTTTGCTAACTACGTAATATATAAAATGAAAGGTATTGAATACATTTTTTATTTTTTTTTTTTTATTTTAAATTAAAATAAACATTATTAAAATACTCTATTGTTGAATAGTATATCTTTTATAATATACGAGGATATTTTTGTTAATTAAATTTTGATATATTTTAAAAGGTTATTTAAGTTAACAAACTCCTATTATTAATTGAAAATTTAAGAAGCAATGTTATATGATAAAAATAAAAAATATGTTTGACAAGTAAATACATCAATATTAATTTAAATTAATTAATATATTTTGTATTAATGATTATTAGTATAAATTTAAAAATTAAGTTAACGTACGACTAATAATATAATTTATGAATTTGAGTTTATCATGTTAATGTTCTGTTATTATTTCAAAAAGATTATATATATACTATATATATAATATATATATCTATTATATATATATATTTGGGATAATAAATTAAAGATTAAGTAGTCTGCAAGTAATCCCATAAATATAAAACTTATGTTTAAAAGTTGAATGAAATTGTAGGTATTATAACAAGTAGTAAATTTAATTTCGTGAAACTACTAAGATTTACAAAACGTTACATTTAATTATCTTAACATGTTATTAAAATATTATATAAGTGAGTATCATATAATAATGTTATTTTTAACTTTTATTAATAATCATTAATATAAATAATATTAATTCATTTATAATTAATATTTATTTATTCTTCAAAATCATCTGTCATATTTATCACATGAAATTATTTATATTATTCTTATCTCTTCAATAAGGAAAACATTACTATTTTAATTAATATATTTTTAAAACTACTATAATTAATGTAAACATTTATTAATTTAATTTTAATATATGTTAGTTAAATTTCATGTTAAGTTGTTTTAGTTTGGTATTTAAATTGCTCAAAACCTAATAACAAAATAAAAATACGAATACAAATTATTTATTTTTATTACTACTGATTTATATTTTTTGTTAATTTTTATAAAAAATGGAAAACTTGGTCAGAATTTGATTTCCGACATGGAAAAATTAAATTCTTACCACAGAGTAAAATGCTTTAATTTAGTAACCAGAATAAGCCTGAATTTAGTTAGGTGATATTTGAGAAAAAAAAGATATTTAAGAAAATAATTTCTCAAACTTGGCAAGATGAACATTATTTTAGAAATTTGGTAAGATTATTTTCTTCTCCTCCTTATTTAATTTTACAATATCACAATCTTTTAAACACATTAAAGGTATTCACAACTAAGTCATGTAGAAACAAATGTTTGATACGGTAAATTTATTGGTCACTTGAAAAGGGCATGAGTCCTCGGAGGTTGTACCTTAGTGTGGGTTGGTAGTGTCACTTAATTACTGTAACATCTGTACAGCTTTCATTTCTCACGGCACATGCACCTCATAAATATCTCTACTAACCCTCATTACTTTGGAATGGAGGTCATTCAATGAAACTCCTCCTATTTCAAATTTTGAAGTCTAGCATGCTTTGATAAGATTCAATTTGCAAAATGACCTAGCTTTGTGTTGTTGACTTACAATAAGAGTACAGAAACCATCATAAGCTGTTTTTGGCTAATTATCTAACAAGTTTATGAACCATTTTAAGGACTTTCCACTTTAATGTCTTTAATTTTTCAAGTAGATGTTGATATTTGTTAAAAACTTAAGTGAGTTTAAATTTGATATAAGATGGCAAAAAGGACCAAGTAGTGTCATTCTATTAACTCGGTCAAAACAGACGAGTCTGGATATCATTTTCAATCTAGTCCGAACTAACTTGGTTCGTCAAGTTTAACAGTTCAGTAAGTAGTCAGTAGCTTGACTTCATTACACTAACACAATCTTATCTCCATATAAGTCCGACTTATCTTTTTTTCTTTTTGATTTTGTCATTGTCTGTGTTGAATTGAATAATCCTGATTGTTTTTGGTAGCCCAACAGTCTCTAGTATCACATCAGCTCATTTTCAACTCGTTTTCATGTAAAAAAAATCAGTTTTTTTACATGATAGAAAGAAAAAGAAGTAAACAAGTAGACTAGCTTGCTAGTCCAACAACTTGAGTTATAAAGTACAATCCATTTTCAATTGACAGGCCAGTCCGGCCCGACCTGTTTTTAGTAGGCCAATATCGGGTCAGGTTTGACTCGTTTTGTTACTCCTAATTTCATATTAAATAAAAATAAAAAAAAATTAAACATCTTAATATGGTTGAAGAACTATAAATTCATTATTTTCAAATTTTTTATTAGATGTATTGTCAATTATTTTGTTTAAGTTGAACTCGTATCTTATTGGTTATTATATCTTTCCAATAAATTAATAATATTAATAATATGATAATTCTACAATAAAAAAAAAAGTAAGATGTTGTCAGGGCTTTACTTGAAAATTATATTAAAATTGTGTATTTTAATTAAAAAATATCTTACTCATAAATTTATATAAAATATTGGTTTACATGTACCTAAAATTATATTAAAACAATGAAAGGGTAAGAGGTGAAAGTTACCAAATAGCTCAACCTCACCAAAAATGGCAAATAGTTTTGATATTACTAGACTTTGACCTTACTAACCTTTCTTACTATGATTACCCCTTTGGCTACGACTAGTTCTTAACGAATTTTTCTTCTTGTAAATGACTTTGGTCCCAATCTAGACCAAAGACCTATTCAGCAGGTTTGCCTCTATCAGCCTCTTGTCTTGCCTTCATTCACTCTACAAACTCAAAATAAGGAGTAGCCACTATTGAAGTAGTTGATTGAGATTAAGACAACTTTAAGTTCTTGGTGTTTTTCAACTCATCACAATCTTGGTCTAATTAGTTGTCATATATATCATGCTTGAAAGTTTTGGTGTCTGGCCTCTATTTCACTGATAATTAATGATGGCTAAGAAATGTTGTAGCCATTATGGTAAGAGAAAATAACATGCCCAAAATTCAAGGAAGTTGTTGGTTTGGAAGAGGAGTACATCATCTATTTGTGTGACAAACACCAAACTTCAGTTTTTCAAATCATGTTTAATGAAATGAAAAACTGCAACCTAAACAGGAGGTAAATAACTGTAGTCTAAGCAACATCTAACTGTTTGATAAATTATATCTTCAAGGCCATGCTTGTAGCTAAAACCCAAATCTTCTAGCTTCTTTGATGAGATGTAAGAGAGAACTTTGTCATAAACTTTTTCAACCTTCATGCAGATGTTAGAACATGAATACACTCTGGAAATAAGAGTGGTTAAGTTAGACAATGTACAACTTTGGCTGCTGCATATGTATCTCCCTTCTGCTTTGGCATGCTCCATCAGGAACATGTGAGCCCTGCATATATCTTCAATGTGAACTAAAGCTATTGATCCCATTCTTGCATTAACAGCAGATAATATTTTGAAATACTCAGTTTCACCTACATTTATAATCAATAGAGTCAAGTGATAATAACTCAAATATTTCTTTTATGTAGAATTTTGTGTACAATCTAATGTTGGATTGTTTGTACTTCATGATGCAGATAGAAGCACAGAACAGAGGTACATTTTCTTTGAAGAACTTGTCATAAAAGATGCTTAAGTTCACAAATGCAGGAATTGAATGAAAGTTATTGAAATAGATATTAATTTTAATACTTAAGGACATTTTTTCTGTTAGGCATACTTACAGTACTTTCTCATTAAAAATCACCTGTTAAAGGGGACAATAGAACTTTAACACTTTTTGGTACACTAGCAGTGAAGAATGGGCCTGCAACAGTGCTTGTGATTATTGACACAAGATCAATGCCATTATCTTTTGCAAATTGAAATGCTGCATCTTCTGTGAGAAGCTTTGAAAGTGCATAAACCTGTCACCATAGAGAAAGTTCTTAAGGAATGGAACCAATCTGGTGTAAATTACAAGTGAAAAAACATCACTTATTACCCATCCACTTGCTTGAGTATTCAACACATTTTTTGGTTGGATTTGGCAAGATTCATCCACCATTGGTTTCCAATTTCCATTGCTATCTCTGGCAGTGATTGTACTAATGGAAGATGTGAAGACAACCCTTTTCACAGAATTGGATTTCAAACAAGACTTGAGAAGGTTTATGGTTCCTCTGATAGCAGGGTCAATTATATTTTCTTGAACAAAAAACTCTGCAAGTTCAATTCAAAGAATATTTATCTGTTACCATTATAGAAAGTTCAGAAGTGAAAAGTTGTTGTGGTGTATGTCAGGTTCTAACAAAAAGCACTGAACATTCAATGCATTACCATTGTTTTCTTTCTCACTAACATTGAATTCCATTGAGGCAGCAACATGGAACACACCAACACACCCTTTTACAGCCTCATCGAAGCTTCCTTCTTCATTCAAATCCGCTTTGAAAAATCTCAATTGGTCACCACCCTTCCACAAAGACAGAAGATGCAATGACTTTGCTTTTACATAGCCACAAGAAAGTGAAGAATGAGTCATAAATAATTAAAATATAGAAATATTTGTAATCAACAAAATCAAGCATATAATAAGACATAATTTGATTTTGAGTTTCATTAGCCCATCAGAAACTACAAAATTTGTTGATCCTGAATGTCTGTTATTTTTACCCTTTTATGTTTTCCTCTATAAATAGAATGTCCTTTGCATAAAAATATAATTTTTTTATTAAAGAAATCATCTCTTTATATGATAGGAAAATGAAACATCTTATTAGAATAAATCACAATATAAGTTTGAGTTATAATTAATTTTAGATGTATTAAACTTCCTGGATTAATTACTCATTAAGATTGGTATATACAAGATGGTGAGATTTCTATGAACATTTTAGTTTAACAGTAAAATGAAGCATTGGTAATAGACAACTTAATAATGGGTTCTAGGCTAGAGTCTAATAACAGAGTAGTTCAGCAAAAGAGATCAACAATGGGCTTATAGGATACCAGTAAGGAAATTACTTCTTGCACCCTATCATTTTCTTCTTACAACCTATTACTTCCTGAATTTATCTTTCAGAATACAATAAACACTTTTGGAATTTTTTTTTCCGGAATCAGTCACCCCTCCTTTTACGAAAAACATTTTCTGGAATGCTTGATGGGATGGGAGGTAAAATTTGAAAGGGTGCAGAAAACTTTAGTTACCTGTAATAATGATTATTTCTTCCTGCACCTTCATAAATTCTCTTTCTAAATTATATAATTTAAAATTAAAAAATAACTTTTAAATTTTAAATCTAGAAGAAAAAATGAATTCCAAATTATACAATATAGAAATTTTAATATGTAATCCGAAAGTCATCTCTACAGAAAATAAAATGGTCTTTTTAAAAATTTGAGGGTTGCAAGTAAAAGCCTCAGCAAAGAGACCAATAATGGGCTTCTAGGAGACCAATGCTAAATGGAACAAAAAAAAAGAGCAAAATGTGAAGTAAAAACAAATGTTTTATTTTCAAAGTCACGCTAAATGTGAAGTAAAAACAAAATGTGAAGTAAAAACAAAATAATGAAAAATTAAAAAAAATAAATTAAAGTCACGCTAATTTATTATATTATTTATTTTATTTTAAAATATTATTACATTAGAGAATACTTATTCAAATGAAAATTTAGTTGTCTCCACTTCCCTTCCAAAATTCAATTCTTACACATACTTGTAAATATTTACATAAATAGTTCGAATATAAATTCTTAAAAACACAAAAACACTTACGCGGTCTTCGTTTGAGCGGAAAGTACTGTTCACTCATATTTAAGGACGATGAATTGAGATGAATGTCGTGTTCACATGAGAAGAAATGCGTAGACATATTTGAAGGTAAAAGCGGGATGACCCTACTGTTCACTCACCCGCGAATGTGGTGAGATTTGGAGGGATTGTTTCGAAAAAGTCACAAGTGCCCCTGTATGTGAAACTAATTCCAGTTGCAATTCTACGTTGCTGCACTTGCATTGTGGACTCACGAGTGAGGAGTATTTGTTGTTTTCTCGTTGCAAGTTGGTGGTAGATGAAGAAGATAATGTTGATGGAAGATGAAGAAGAAAGTAGTTGATGAAGAGAAGGAGTGTTTGAAGCTGGAGAAGATGAAGATGAGCAAAGCGTATTCGGTTCCAAGGGGGATTTATTTCGTTCCAGCCCCATGAATATATTCGATTCCACTTGTATGAAGAAGGAGAACTGAAGGTGTATTCGGTTCCATGGCTTTGTATTCGGTTCTAGTGCTTTGAAGAAGAAGAAGGGAAGGTGTATTCGGTTAGCATGGGTTCGTATTCGGTTACCCGTTGTTGAGACAGAAGCCCTCCATTCACAAGCTGTGTATTCGGTTCGCATGGAGGAATTTCCTTACAAGCTTGGTCGTTATGGCGCCATTTTGACGAAGGTCTACGCATCATCACGGAGCTCGACAATGAAGCATGGAAGCTGGTTCGAAGGTTGGTGGTGGAAGCCCTATGATTCGTGACGGTGGAGGATGCAGCGACTATCACATGCTCATTGCAGCACTAGAGGAAGTTGTCCTTGATGATGGAGGATGCAACGTCTTTGATGATGAAGACAAAGTTGTTCGTGATGAAGTCGAAGTCGGGTCTAATGAGTTCCAGTGATTGTACTGCATGTGTGGGAGGAAGCCATGCAGTGTCGAGACATCGTGGTGCCCGTGCATGGAGTGGTGGTTGAGGTCCTAGGAAGCGGGGAGGGGGATTCCGATGAATTGTTGGGTGTGAGAGGGCGGCGCGTGAGGGTTGAAGGAGTCGTTGTTGTTGGCGCCGACAACCGCCATAGGGTTGAGAAACACGAGATTTCTTGCCACATGTGAGGGCGAGGGACTGCGATGATGCACGTAGTGGATGTAGTCTATGTTGACGAGGACAAGAGTTTGGAGTCCGACTGAAAAGAGAGCACTACCACACTAGTGCAGAATTGGCCTTTAACGTCCCCCCATAAACGTCCGTCCACAAAAACCCCAACGTAAATAATTGACCGGTGGCATATTCGTAAATA